ACCACTGTGCGTGATATGAAATTCTTCCGCCATATTGTGAATTTACACGAACTGCCAAAAACCGAACTGCGTTCCATCGAAATGCGAGTATTTTAGATGCATAGCAACGACAGTTGAAATGTCTTACGTAGAATATAATCACCTTCTTTTTGAGATAAGCCAACGACTCGATCAACTGAACCAACATGGACATTTACTCTTTATGTGTAGAGGGCGTGTGGCGTCTAGACCTGAAGACATTCCCGATGCACTTTCGCTCTTTCGAGAGCTAGAAGAACAAGATAATTTGGCCATTGATCAGGTTGAGCTATTGACAGAACTCCTAAAAGGGGTCGGAGAATGGTCGTTGTTTCAGAAAGTGAGAAAGTTCGAGGACAAAAGGAAAGAATACAAAGAATTGCTTAAACAGATCAGCCGTGCTCTCGACGAAAGCAATCAACTGCAGCAGCTTATTTCTGTCTGCACCGCGAGGGAAACGTTGGAGGAAAATGAAAGAAACACTCAAACTGCTCGAATTTTCTTCGAAAAACTTGAACGTCGAGGACTTTTTGAGTTTGGTCGTCTTGATTTCTTGAAAGGGATTTTATCGGAAACTGAGAGGCAAGATCTAGTGAAGAAAGTTCAGGATTTCGAGAAGCGACGAATTGACGAAGATGAGTTTGAAAGAAGGAAAGGTAACAATTATTTGGTCCTCTGCAATTCATATTTTCCCGCATTTTTTGCGGGAAAGTATCGGATAGTCTGCTAAAATAATGTCCATCGATTGACCATAATATGCTGTATTGATCAGAAATCAACATTTAAATTCAACTCCGTCACTTTATTATAATTCTCCAGCACAACTTGTTATTTAATCTAACAATGTGTTATTGAATCTTACAATTTAAGCCCAAGCCGGTAGCATTGTCGCAGCAGCCAGGGTTGTTAGTGGAAGAGGTGAGTTAAAATTGGTGTGATTTAATTGTTGAGCATTAGAAAGGAAGAGTTCCAAACTCCATAAACAAACCAAAGTTCTGAAGCACTCTAAATCAGTTATGTATTTCCGACGATCTACCATAAAACTATTTTACGGAGATATCAGAAAGTGTGGCTATCTAACGTACACGTGAACATGCTCGCGTCGGTGGGTTATATGTTCAAAGTTGTTTCCAATTTGTACGATGAGTTCGAGTCGTGCCCCTAAAATTGGCCAGCGAGGAAAATGCAGGGCGTGAAATTAATTTTTTTTTTCTGATAGCCACTTGGCCCATAAATTCTTCAAAGTGGTAGCCAATTCGAAAAAAGTTGGTCACCATTTGCGAAGACGAACAAAACCTTTTCTTACGCTGTTAGCGTTCGAGATAGATCCTCCAAAATTAAGTAAGGGAAAAGATCTTTAACGTGCTACAAAGTGGACACTAAGATGGATGATATACAACGTTCAAGCTCACCTAAATCCAGGATGGCGTCTGGTTATCAATCGAGATTCATGTGCTGCGTTTTGGAAACAATCTTAACGAGGAAGTTTGCTGCGGATTTATCATTGCAAATCTTTTTTACTCACAATATCTCTCGGTAAGGTTATAATGAAACATTCTAGTCGCCAATTTGGCGACTAGTTTTCAGGATTTGGTCGTCAAAGTGAGAAATTTAGTCGCATTGGCGCCTGTATTAG